TCCTCTGCCAGACCCTCTCTCTTTTCCATCCTTAACTTTGGTTCTTCAGGCTTAGTTCCTCAGCTGTCTTGCTGCTTGCTCGTTTTCCTGACTTCCAATGTCTATGCGCTAGTAACACCACACCTGGATGTCCAGCCCAGCCCTTGGTACTTCACAGGCATAGCAACCTTCTGAGTGGACAAGAGCTTGCAACAAGACCCATCTAAAGCTAAAATTCTCTCAGTTCCCCCACATTGCTCGTTATCCCCAGTGTCTCATAGTAAATTAGCATTTCCAGCCTGCCATTTGCCCAATCAGAGACCTGGAAAAGCCATTGACCTGAAACCTCCTTTGTCCTTAACCAGTCAACTTCTGCACCCCGTATCTCCTAAGTTTTCCTCGAGTCTGACTTCCTCCCCATTTCACCCTGAGGTCTCTGTCATCCCACCCAGAACACAGGACCTGCCTGTGTCCTACCATGGAGCCCACACACCCCCGGTGAAGCCAGGCAGCCCGGGGAGGCAAACTGGAGCATGCTGCTCTCTCCCGCCCGAGTCTTCCTACACTCACAGTCCTCCTCCCAGGAGAAAGACTCAGAGAAGAGAAACTGAGCAGAACACAGCAAGTCCAGGGGCAGGGAAATTATTGATTCATGCATTTGCTCGTTCATTAAATTATACCTTCAAAACTTGGAGCTAGCCCTTCTGGGACTTTCCAGGCCTAAGGACTGAGTTTTCTTGTTTATTTCCTTCATAGTGCTTACCTCCACTTGTTATTGTTTTCTTTGGTTCATGGTTTTTTTTTAATTTTTTGAAAAATCCATCTCCTTTTTTAAAAAACTAAGTTCCTTAAAGAAAAGGTACACTAACTGTCTGTTAGCAATATGGGGTCTTAACTGGCTCAGGCTGTTGATACAAGATCCACAGACGCAGCAGCTCAAACAGCAGGAATTTGGCATAATTGTAGAGCTGAAAAACCCCAGGCCAGTGTGCCAGCAGACCCAGCCTCTGCAGAGGGTCGTCTTCCAAGTTTGCAAATGACATTGTCTCTCTGCGCCCTGACATGTAAGAGAGCAGAGAGAGAGGAAGCAAGACCTCTCTTCCTCTGCTACGGCACTAGTCCACCTTCACTCTCCGCACCTGTTCCCGTCCCCAGAGCCCCGCCTTCTAATACAGTCCCACTGAAGGATAGGTTTTCAACACATGGATTCAGGAAGTGAGCTCAAACATTAAATCCATGAAGTGGGTTATCTACAGCCTTTATTACAAAATGGGATGTAGTACTCAGGCCAGATGCCGACACCAGGGGTGAGAATCTTAGGACACCCTTAGAATTCTGCCTGCAGTGCCCCCTGGAGTACAACTCTACAAGCCCTGGTCATCTCTTCGACCCAAGACCAGTGCCTCCAACCACACAGAGGACATGTAGCAAACGACACTATTGCACAGCCCTGTGGAGTAACCGACAGGATTTCTCAGCAGCTAGGGTCCACTGGGGACCAGGGCCTGTGGCCAACCCAGGCACTTTCTGCAAGTCCAGCCCGGGGATGGAGGGAATCGAAATCCCACACATCTGAATCCAAAAGCAATCTACCAGTATCCATAACTGACCACTAGAAACCTGGAGATTAGAATAGTTTTAGCCATAGACGATGCTCATTGGATTTTTGTTGCTGTTTGTTAATGGAATAATAAAGCGAGTGAACTCTTCTGCACACTAGAGATGGAAAGCCCTGGGGTGATTGGAGTGTGGGAGGAGCAAAACAGGACTGTGAGCCCACCAAATGCCTCCTTCTCCTTTGCTCAGGGTCTGCCCACCCCCACGCATGCTCAAGGCCTGTCTCACCACCACCATGGTGTCCTCCGGGAAGCCTCTTCTGATGCCCAGCCAGGATTCTCGGCACTGACGCCTACCTAGCCCACTGGCCTTTCTCAGAGATCTTCCTTTTGACACCAGTTCCCTGTCATGGAACAGTAGGTTAATTCTCTGCTGTGTTTCAAGTCCCTGTCTCGGCTCTACACTCCTTGAGGGAGTTGGCTGTCTCAGCCTTCTTTGTCCCCACCTCGAGCAGACTGAGCACATGTGGCAGTGCAGATCCCTCGGGACTGCCTGACAGCTAGGAACCGAGATCTGCTGCAAGCAGGAAAGGGCAGTTAACCCGGGCTGGGGTCAACTGACCGGGAGCAGAGTGTGCGGGGAAGGTGGATGGGGGCAGAGGGAATGACCGGTCCTGCACAGGCAGCAGGAGCCCAGACTGAGGACGCTGGCGCCTGTGGAAAGCTGCCCGCACAGCCAGAAGGTCAGAGAAGGCGTGGAAAAGGGGAGGAAGGACAAGTAGCCAGACCGAGAAGGCAACGCTGCATGTGCTGCTCCCCACCGGAGCATGGGCGCGCCCTCATCCAACCTAGCTGGTGTCCCTGTAACGACAGGTTACTTGCTTTGTGGAAAGTCGCCCAAAGAGCCACAGGCACTCAGAATAGAACTCATTCTCCCCCCTCCTCCATCCCGGCACCGGCAGTGGCCAGCACTGGTGCAGATGACATGATGGGGGCTGATGACACGGATGATGCCTTTTGCCCTGAACATACCAAGGAATTAAAGGAGAGCAGTCTGGGAGCTCATAGGGTGAAAGATGATCATCAACCTCGAGCGAGACAGACACTAACACCCAAGTCCCACTTGGGTGCATGAACAGTCATTTCCAAGCCAAGGGTTGCAGAAAGACTCTTATTATATCTAAAATAGGCCAGTAACTTTCTAGACCCCTTTCCCCTCTGGGCTCCCTCCAGAGCAACTGGTGTTCCCAAGGAGGGCAGCCTCAAAGGTCCTAAGCAGGCAGGCAGTGGGACCCAGGAGGAGGAGAAGCTGGGATTATTCATTGGCAAGGACAGTAGGCAGGATTTCATACGATCTTCAGGTATCAGAAGAGTTCTTAGGCAGTGCAAGCTAAGTCTTGGCAGTGGCTACTGAGGATAGAATAAGAAAAAGAGCTTAATCCCCAGCATAAGGGATTTAGGATAGCTATGGGGGAGAATTTCCTGATGGTGAAAGTTGTTAAAAGTTGCAATGAATGGTCTCGAGAGAGACTCAGGACTGCTCTGGAAGCTTTTACAAGTAGAAGAGATTATCCTCTGGCAGGGGCAGCTTATCTCTAATCCTGCCCGAAGGCAGGGGAATGGACACGGTGACCTCAGGCTCTCCTTCAGACTTGTAAGCAGGCCTTCCCATCAGCAGGCCAGCCAGTGCTGTAAGGAAGGCCCAGAGTGCTCCCAGAAATAAGGAGACTCTACACCTTGTGAGATGGCCTTTTCTTTTCCTACTTTCTAGCCACAGCTGCCTTGGAACCATGGCCAAGCTCCCCTGTAACCTTGGGTCTAATGAAGGGCACCTTAGACAAGAAAGCCAAGAGTAGCCCCAGACCAGAGCAGACAGATTTCTTCTGCCTCTTCCAGGTCTTCCAGATGCTGGTCCATAACTGTAGTCTTCTCCACTGAGGGTTCTGCATTTGACAAACCATAGGACCCCCAGGCAGTAGCAACAGGAAATCTAAGGGTAACCCCTGCCTGCTGACAGGACAGCAAAGAGAAGTGCTGACGGTGGTGTCCCCATATCGTGTTTCTACTTCTGACAGTCTGATGACAAGTCTTCCGGGACACTAGCCTGTCTCCAGGTGCTCACATACAGGGCAAGAGAAAAGAGGTGCATGACCATGTGCCTTCCATGGGGGACAGTCACGGGCGCCATGGCACTGAGCAGAAGGCTTTATAGGTATGCAGAGCACTGCACGATGTCTTAGGAGGCTCCTGGGCTTGCAAAGGGCTCGAAGAATGGGAAAATGGAGGCAGACAGAAGTCTGGAGACCCCGAAGCATTTTCAGCAGTGCTGTCCAGCATGGAGAGGACTCAAAGAACCACAGTTGACCCAATACTTTCAGAAACCCAGAAAGCCGAGGGGTGACTTTGGACTTTCTGGAAACTGAGGTCAACTCTGAACAGCATTCAAAGCTACAGATAAAGTTGGAAGTGAACACGTCTTTAATTTTCAAGTCTATCTCTTATTCAACCCCTAACACCATAGCTTCACAGGGTCTGGGGAGGTTTGTCTTCATGTTTCTTTCTTACAACACCAAAGAGGTCCTTCCGGTCCCTGTCCTTGTCCTCCATGTCTCTGCTCAAGTCTTTTGCTTCCCACCACTCAGCACTGAATAAGTCCACAACCCTATAACCTTTCCACAGGACTTGTGGCCAGGGACCCTCTTGGGGGGGACAACTTTCCTTCTGACTGTTGACACCCCAGGCCATTTCTACACAGCCTGCATCAGCTTCAGTCAATACAGGTCTGGGGCTGGAGAAATGCCCATGAATATGTAGAAGAAGGAAGTATGAAAATGTATTCCTCTGTCCATTGCACATGCTAGGAAATAGACAGTAATGTGTGGCAAAAGCACATTAAGCATGCAATCAGCAGCATTCTCGTGCCCAAATAAAGCTATTTTCATTTCATAAAGCAAGAGAGCAAGTCAAGTCATTAGGGAAATAGAAATGGGGAACTTAAATGCCTAATTGGAAGCTCTATTGCACTTGCAAAGTACCTCTGGTTTTTCTAAAAATTCAAGGGAAACACATTGAGCTTATAATTGCAGATAGATCGATGCCATGTTCCTTCCTGCATTAGCACCGAAGGAAAGTCCCTTCCTGTGGGCTCATCCCAGGCCCAGCTACACTGTGTGAACAGCAGTGAGCCCAGAAGAAAGCACATGGGCTCCTGGGCCAGGAAACATCAAGCAGAAGTAGAGGGCCTCTCTCTTTATCCTGAAGGCAAAAATCTACATCTCTAGCACATTTCTGACTCTTTTAATCTAATTCTTATACTCACAGTTTCAAAGATGAATATGTTGGATTTATTTATTGGCCATTTTCTATATGTGTAGTGCAAAGCAAGGGTAAATCATTTCTTCAAGCCTCAGGGACTTCACCTGTAAAACGCAATGGTTTTAGCCCCAGGATTCCATAAAAGGGCCTGGGGAGCTGCTCAGGAGAGGGGTCCACCTAGGGGCTTGGCAGACAAGGAGATGACATATCCAGTGGCAAATTCTCATCCTACACCCCCACTCCCAATTCGGTGAGCTGACCCCCACTGGTATGTGCTTTATATTTTGGGATTCCACATCCGGTATTATTTGGGTGGGGAAGGCTCTGTGGCTTAATATACACTCCACTAAAGCCCACATCTCTAATCTGACTGTGGGGAGGAGAGAAGCCCTCATTCAACAACCTGCTGGCTCGGTCAGAGCTCAGTTGTTTGCATATTCTCTGGGGAATCCTGAGGGATGAATCCCGGGAGTTAGAAGAGGAAAACATCAAGTCTCATATTTCCTGGGAGGTCAGTCTTGACCTGTTGGTTGGTCCGGCACGCGTGACTGTTTTGAGGCAGAATCAGCAATTCCTGCATCACATACTTTTGCATGGTGAACTCATCTGCATTCATTTTTCTCCTCTCCTTTCATGAGGTGGAGAAATAAGAACATTCCGATTTTCCTGGAATTGCAGTGAGGTCGTGGGCTCCTCTTCAGCATAAGATCTTTCTCTTCAGGAACTCTTCCTGTCCAGGTGGTTGGAGGGGTGTTTACCAACACAGTCCCCTCCAATCACAAAAGTATAAAGCCCATGGCCTGGGGAGAATATTGCTCTCAGCTGACCATAGTATTTCTCCAAAGACATCCCTAAGCCCAAAGAAATGACCAGGGCCTGAGCGGGTGAAGACTGGACTCTCAGTGCTCTCTCTGAGCACAAACACAGGGACATAGCCTGGACTTTGTCATCTGACCCCTAGAACAGGCTCACACTGCATTCCAGTGAGCATCTACCCCATGCCACAGGGTCTCTCTGGCCCTTTTACCTATGTAGAAGAGAAGCAAGAAGATAAAATCAGAAGGTACCCTTACTCAAACGACACAGGCCTGTGCCTGGTTCATGAGATTAGGAGCCATGAGTAAATCGGCCTGGCATGCATAGCTGGAGCTCCATAAGTGAGTGGGCCCCTACTCGTGCTGGCAATGACAGCACAGGCCTCTGCCGTACGACCTGAGTCCAGCCCCGCATGCTCATCTGAGTGATGCCGCCTCACTAAGCACCCACTTCCCTGTCCCCCAGCACTGTCTGTTGGCAACACTGCGGGACATGAAGCTCCCTGCTGCCAGTTTAAGAGATGATGGGGTTAACAGGGGCAGTAAGGACTGGTCTGTAAAGACCCCAGTCCTAGGTTTCCGACAGACTCGAACCCAGTGGAGATAACATGTCCCTGAACAAACAGAACGATACAAAAGGAGGGCGGTAAAAACAGAAGCAGCAGGGAGAGGATAAATAGTGAGTCTTGTTTGCTAAATTAGTTATAACTGAGGAGTTTGCCATCTGACCCCATGTATTTTTAAAGCATCCAGTTAAGGAGCATTTATTAAAATGTTTTCAAGTTGTCCTTTGAAAGAAGAGACCCTGACAGGCCACTCAGTGTACTGCAAAGGTGGGTTAAATACTGTTATCCCTGTTGCAAAGATAGGGAGACAACAGTATAATGGATGACCTTAATTTTCCAGAGACATGCAGTGAATTCATTACTGGGAGGGAGAAAGAGAAAGGCAAAAGAAAATCAGATTAAAGAGTCCCCAAACCTGGGCTGCTTTGCCAAGACAGCCAACAACTTTGAGGGAAGGAGAAACAAGCGCCCAACCTCACAGGGTACTGCTCCAAACAAAGCCTCAGTCCTCACGAACACAGACAGCTTCGGGGGAGCTTTGAAATGGAATGTGCGGCGGAAATAAATGCACCACAAAACCACCGTGATGACTCCCAATCTGCTGTCCACTGCAGACTGGGAGAGGAGGGGAAAATAATCCAGATCCTAATTTAGTCCGGGAGCTTGTTTTCTTACACTGACAAATCTTTCTAAAAATGATTTTCTGATTAGAGTCAAGGCTGCAGCCCAAACTCCACGAGACTGTTGTGCCGTCAGCATGTTAATGGTGTTCCTTAGCAACTCTCCCCTTCACTTTTAGGAAGAAACAACACCTCTGCCAGGAACGCGAAGCTGGAGGAGCCTCAGCACCTCTGATGATTCATGGCTAGGGCAGCAGCGGCGGAGGCTGGCGGGAGGGCCGAGCTCACCGGTGGCAGGAACAGGCCTCCAAAAATAAAGGCAGGTGCTGCCTGTGTCTGTGCAGGGACATAGGACAGGCAGGCAGTGAGCTGCCACTTTGTCTCGAAATCTCTTCACTCCTTGCAGCTATCCTGTGCAACTGCATAAATCGAAACGTAGAAGGCACACTAGCAGTCTCCTAGGGTTAACTTGGCGTTACAGGCTGCACGGCTTTTTCCTTTATGACAGAATGATCCCAACACGTTCATAGAATCAATCTTTTCCTCGCCAGACCTAAAGATGTAAGAGACAGTAAGAGCAGTCAGATCTGTGAGGAGGAGGGGAAGGGGTTCTCTGAACTGATTTTGTTTTCTTTGTCATAAACTGAGAGCACTGCTTTGGAATTTTCCGAACGGGTAGAAAGAAATGAAAATCATGATTTTGTTCATCGTTAATACATTGACCTGTTACACATTGACAGTATGCCAGCTCTGGTCTTTTGTGGTTTCAGACTTCATTTCAGCAATGAATGCTAAAGCTAATGGTACCATCAACTTCAACAATCACTTTCCAGATGAGAAACTGAGGCCTCAGGGACTTGGCCACCCTGAGGTTGTGATGCAGAAGGCAAATCCAAATATTTCCACCGTGACTAATTCTCAGGCCAGATGCTTCAAAACTGGACTTGGTTATTCTCATTTGAGAAGAGAAGAAGTGAGATTCAATTTGCCAATATTCACATTCTTGGAGGAAACGATATTCATCCTAAGCCAAAACATATTGGTAAATCCTCTAATTTAGTCCAATGATGTCTCACTTTACATGATAAATGTTTCTAAAAAGTTGCATGCAAATCAAATTTTTCTAAATTGAATTACTTTTTTAAAAGCACAAGACAGATTGCTTTGAAAAGGAACCCTGGGCTGAACATGAGAAATATTTCTGCAATTTAAATAATAAAGACCTCCATAATTTATCTCCTCTGTAAATTCATAATTTAATATTCTTTGGTTTTGTTTAGCATCACTTGTTTAAAACAAGAAAGATCTATATTCAGACACCCAGTGTCACTAAGAAGTCTGTAGTCCATTAATAATAGCTAATGCTTTCTTTCTACACAGCATTAAGAACTAATAAGGAATGGTATTGGTATTCCCATTTGGCAGATGAGAAAAATCAAGGCATAAAATAAAGATAGATTCAAGATCTTGGAAAAGGTAATATAGAAAGGGTACTCACATGTTTTTACTTATAAATCCTTCCTTTTTGTCTACTATGTAATAGTTACCTGCTTAGGGTGGCTCTTACATCCCAGAGAGACTTACCCAACATCACAGATGCAGGAAGTCCAAAGAGATTCCTGAGCTCTCTCAAAGCCCTAGTCTTCAGGAATCCAGGAAGAAACTCAGACCCACTTGTCTTTCCAAATGTTAGCTCGCCTAGAAGACCCAAAGGGCAAAACAAGAGTACCTGATGATGTGTCACAGACAGAGCCATGACAGTGTGTCTTTACTGACTCTTCACTGTGAATTCAATCCTTCCCATCAGAGGGAAGAAAGGGCAAAAATGTAGAAGCTCTGCCCCGAAGGATGAATCATCCTATGAAAAAGGATAGGCTCACATAGGAAACCAAGTCAGGGTTCAAGGTCACACGAATCTTCCCAACTAGGTTGTGGATCTTTAAGAAGAGGACCTTCATCTTTGGAAAGGTAGCATCTGGCCTCGGAAAAGTAACTGGCAACTGTTTAAAACATGAAAATATAAAGGGATCAGGGAGGATATTATCTGAAAAGCTGACATAAAATAAATAGGAAAAACACATTATTTGTATCTCCAGAATGGAATGAGCTCATCTACAGGGCAGGAGTGATAACACCAGCCTCGGGATGGTGCTGTGGTTCCTGAGGCCACACCAGCTCTAACGCACACACCCTGTCTCGGCGAGCGCTGAGCCTCCTCGCTAAGCAGTGCCTGTCATTTGTACACAGGCATCCCAGACCGCAGCTAAGGGGCCCTGATGACAGTTCACCATGAGGAAAAACTGCAGTTATACAGGGCCACCCACCAATGGCGCAAACACTGTGAGCAGTGCCCCTGCCCCAGAGGCTAGACTGTCATTTCCCAAGGAAGATGCGAGGAAACATCCTGTACCCGCCACTCACTTGGCTGAGAATCAGAATGACCTAGGCAGTGTTTAAAAACTACAGAGTCCTGGACCAAGCAAGGCTTCTTTAATGCCTTGCGCTGAGCCTGAAGATGGCCCTTCGCCTAATCCATACTCCCTTTCTCTTCCGTAGACTAGACACGGTCTGTTTGACTAGGATTGCAGACCCGGGATGGTACAGCCCCGGGAGACAGTTACGTTATGTACCCTTCTTCCTTGTTCCCTTCCGGCGTGTGCCCGATCACGAGACAATCACGCTGCGTTCAGCCTAGGCCACGTGGGCCCCATAGGGCGAGTTGCCCTGCCTTCTCTCCTGTTTGTCTCACACTATAAATAAAGAGCGCGCTGGACTCCAGGTGGCCGTTAACGCACCAGGCTATGGCCCCACGTGGTCCCAGCTTTCAAGCGTGCTCTTGGTGTGTATCTTTCTTTCTTGTTATTTTTCAGTCTTCTTCATCTCCCACCTCTCTCCCCGGCTTTGGACCCTACGCCGTGTGGGTCTCAGCACTTTAACAACTGTGGAAAGGCTTGGAAATCTGTATTTTGATAAGCATTCCAAGTGATTTTTATGCAGCTAGTCACTGAGGCATTTCACTGCCTGAGTTTGAGAACCACCAGTGTAGGCAAAGTATGTGGTCTGCTGCAGCTTAGCTATGACTTGAGCGCTTCCCCTGAAGGTCCACACGTTGAAATTGGGCCCACAGAGGGAGGAGGCTTATCCAGCAATGGTGTTTTGAGGTAGGACCTTTGGGAGGTGACTGGGATTAGATTAAGCCATCAGGGTGAACCCTCCATGACTGAACACTGGAGAGTTTATAAAAACAGGGAGGGAGACCAGAAGACACACACACGCACGCACACATGCACGCACGCACACACGCACACACGCACACGCACATCTCTTGCTATGTGATGCCCTGACTGTCTGCAGACTTTGCTAGCAAGATGACCATCACCAGATGCAGGCCTTCAAATTCAGACCAGAGCCATGAACCAAAATAAATCTCTTTTCTTTATAATTTAGGTTGCCTCAGGTATATTGTTATAATAATGTGAAATAAACTAATACAGTTTCCTTCCAAATTCTGAGGCCCTAGGAGTTCCTTCATCTGCCCTTGGTTCCCTCAGAATAGTGTCATGGGAAATAATACAAATGGACAAAGTTAGAACCAGGAGCAATGGCACATACGTGGAATCTTGGCTACTTGGGAGGCTAAAGCAAGAAGTTAACTTGAGCCCGTGAGTCTGAAGTCTGCCTAAACAACATAGGGAGACCCTGTCTCAAGAAAAAGAGAAAAATGGATAAGATTGGATTCAAATCCCTGCTCTGTCGTTTCCTTCTGTATAACTTGAAAACATATTGATTAACTCCCAGACCCTCAGCTTCCTTGTCTAGGAAATAGAAGTGACTGCCTTAGATGGAGGTTCTTGGAGCTTTTCTGGCACATAATAAATCCTCAATAAATATTTTATGAACTTAATAGAAAAGTGCCTCTCATACTGTGAGACAAATAATAAGAACTTAAATATAAACGTCCTCTCTCACCACCATCCCAAACTTACGCATTTCATAGAGGAAAATGAGTTCACCTAAACCAATGAGTTGGACAGAAGAGGGAAAGTAAGAAAGGCAAACCATACACAGAAGGAGGCGCAGGGAGAGCAGGAAAATATCTTAGGAGATTCCAAAAAGGGAAGAGGATTTCCAAAATCTGAAATAAGACAAATAAAGAAAAATGCAATGCATTCAATTTCAGTGTAACAGTAAAAGAGAATGAAAGTGTCATAGATCTTTCTGGATTTCGTTGGGTGCACTCAATCATTAAATCTGCATTTAGAAATATTTATATTTGCCAAAAACCAGAGCCTTGGCACACAGGGAGAATGAAAAGAACAAGGGACAGGGTCCAATTTATCATCAAAGAGCTGTCACACTGACAACTAGAAGAATTGGAAAGTTACAAAGTACCAGCCCCAAACAGCATCAATCACCTGATGATGGTAAATAAATTAATCAAAAATCATTGGGTACCAAAAGGTCTGGGGGAAAAATAAAAGGCAGAAGAGAAAAACGATCAGGAGCAGCAGGCAAGCAAAATAGCAGAGCCTGACCCAGTTGAAGCAGAAGCCATGTGCCTCGGCACTTTGCCACCACCCTGTCTTCAACGTCTTTTGCACCACACCCCAACCAGGTGCCAAGCACAAGTGGTTGTAAAACAACTGTAGATGCCATCAGCATCACATGCATGGGTGCTCCACCTGGCACCCCACCCCTCAACTCTAGGGAAAAGAAGCACCATCATCCTTGGCAGATAGGTCATCCAGACCATCACTTTCTCGGCTATTCCTTGCCCCACTTCTGAGCTGCCATATTTGTGTGTTTGAGTTAAATTCCTGGACTCCCCACCTGACCTTCTGGGGACCATTAATCACTGGTGCCAGGCCTTGGTGGAATACATGATTCCCTCCTCTGTGCTATCAAGTGTCCTCCTGACCCAGAATTATGAACACCAAAGCCAGACACCCCCAGACTGCCCTCTTTTTCCTCAATCAGTGAGCTCATTAATTACTTGACAAAGAAGTGATGCTAGAGGTTATTAACCAATCATCAACTTCCTCACTCTTTTTCCAATGAGGATGCACAGATGTGTCCCCCTGAGTTCACATAGGACTGTGACTCATGGGCCAGGCGATGAATTAAAAGGATTTCCCACCTGGGTTTTCTGTGCCTCAGTGGACCCAGGTCATGAGCACTCCAGTAGAGTTGAAATATACTTGGTGTGATGGCTAAGCTTAACTAGCACCTTGATTGGCTTGGGAGTGCATACGGGATTAGTGAAGTACACTTCTGGGTATGTCTGGCTGGTCATGGGGGTGTGACTTTGGAGTCTTTGTCTGGTCCCTGGCCCTTCCTCTCTGGCACTGTTCCCCTGCTCTGCTTCCCACCCACCATGATCTTCCTGCCTTGGAGCCAGCCAGCCCGGAACTGAAACATTTAAAACCATGAGAAGAGCAAGCCATTTCCTGCTTCAAGTGGTATCTGTCTGGCATTTTGATCACAGCACTCAAAAGCTGACCAATGCATCATGTCTCAAGCTCCACCTTTTTTTAAATTAAATATGCTTTTGAAATGCTAACTCAAACATCTTCTATAATTCACCCACAAATGATAATTTTTCATTAAGCTCCACTTAACTGATATTCAGTGAGCACCCGCAGGAATGATATGAAAGCAAATAAAGCCACATCTATGCATTCTGAGCGCACAGACCGGTAAAAGAGACAGGCACCATCACAGACTGCATGACCCACCCAGACCATGACCATGGAAACCACACAGAGGCAGAAAGCACAGCAGAACCAAGGTCAGAATTAACCCTCGGATGAGGTATGGGGAAAGACTTCCACACTGGAGGAGAGAAACAGAAATTTGACCTGACTTAGAAGCCAGTTAGAACTTGGACAAAGGACAAGGCACAAAGATCCGCTTTAAAACCCCACAGAAGTGGGTAGGTGCAGGGTATATGGTGGGGAAGATGAGGACAACAGCTCTTGCCGAATAGAGAGAATGGGATCATAACTGGGGAATGGTGACAAGAAGCATCACAGAGAGTCTTTAAGTATGAAAGTGCCCCTCTGCCCTGAAACACCTCGTCCATGCACACAACACTCTAGATATCCAGAGCGTTCACACATGGTGAGCTCCACAGGGCCAGGAAACTTCTGCAAGTGTCTCCTCTATCTGCTGGTGAGTGGGACCATCCAAATAGGAGGATACCCACAGCTCCATGGATCTGGGCTCAGTGAGTAGTGCCCATATCTGGGGCCCAGCAAGGAAGAAAACAAATGATAGTTGGTCTCAAAGAGGTTATGTACAGATCACATGCATCCAGCCAGGTAATAGACAGGCGTCTGCTGAGCAGATGATGCCTGTGGGTAAGTTGGAAAATGAGGCACTGTATGCATATAGCTGATTAACTCAGTGAACCAGACTCACTAGGGTGAAAGCCAAAAGAACTAAATTCTTCACTCAGGAGCTCCTTCCAAACCTACTCTACAGAGCAATTCCTTCCTGGTCCTGGATGACAAGTATTCTAACATTTTGTCAATTCTAGAATTCAAAGCAAATAACCCCTTTGGAGGGCTGTGAAATATCACTGGTCAGCATGGGCCTGCTGCCTGTGCTCCCCTCCCCACCCTGCCACTCAGCAGCTCTGGTTGTGATCTCAGAGTGAGTGGAGAGGGGGAAGCAGAAGAGGGGCTGGCAGAGAACTCTCAGAGTGACAGGTGTAATCCAGCACCCATGCTCTTGGAAAATGGGAAATGTGAAAAGCTGATCTTTCCTCTGTGGGCTGCTCATAGGAACCTCAGCCCTGCACTCCTTCACAAAAGCCGTGCTTCCCACAGCTGCCTGCCCTCTGGAGTCACCGGCGTCTTGCAGCCCACCCTTGGGTCCCCTCGACCGCTCGCTTCTCCAGCGGGCCTTCTGGGGCAGCCAGATTCTGCAGATCTCTTCCTCCCACAGCTTCCTCTGCTCTGCAATAAATGCACATGTGGAGCCTGTTTACATCCCACAAGGATGGGCTGTTCCCACCACAGCTCAGACACTTTCCTCCCCACTGTCCCACCCGGACTGGCCACGAGCTCAGTCCCTGGGACCTCAAAGGGCTGTATACTCTTGTCTATCTCTTCCCTTTATACGCTGGAGGTAGATGATGAGCTAATGCTGGCAAAATAGTTTGGGGTCACCCCCTTTTAGCATATTCAGAACATTGCCGCAAGTCATATGTCTTGCTGCTGGTTGGCTCTGAATCCAGGCCATCAGACGGTGTGGGACAGTCATGCGTGCACCACCAGTGGTTCAAACCAGTGGCAAAGTGTTAGTTTGTAGATGACCTGGCATATCACTTTAAAACATGAGGGCACTTGGCATATATTGTTCTCACACCATGGGCATCCACTGAATTTTCAAGCAACCATAAAGTCTGGATTAGTGTCCTTGTAAGACGCAGCACAAGGTGCCATCAGATCAGAGCTCCACATTTATAGCCTTATCTAACCTTAATTACGCATTATGGACCTTATCCCACATAGACTAGGAGTTTGGGCTTCAACTTACAAATTTGGAAGAAACAATTAATTTCTTAGCACTTTCTAACTTCTGCATGGGTTAATTGATCTCCTGCACAGCTCTCTTCCAGTGATTTGGG